ACGACCGAGCAAAAGCAGTAAGAAGTCATTCCACCCCGGCCCATAAGAGGAAGGCCGTACCGCCACCCCCGCCCTCCCCGCCGCCCGGGTGGTGCGGTTGGGGAATTCTGGGAGTTGAAATCCACTCATCTTAAAGTGGCCAAGTTTGGACAACACTGTATTAAAGCATCCCTATTTAAAATAAATGCATCACCGTTCAGGTACAAATAAGTAATATTTCCAGAGTAATTATATGTTAGGCCTACTAAGTGGGTCAGACCCATCACAGCTTTCTGCACTTACTTTACTCTGAATTGCATAAGGTAAAACAAAACCACTCTTATCTTATTCGAACAGTTCAATTCCTGGCTTCTTGTTTAATCTACCATTGGTGCCTGTGGCTGAAGTCATTCCAGGTATTGTTAGACATCTTTGTACTTGGTTTCTGATCAAGAGATATCTATAACCTCATTCCCTAAAGGCCCTTGGATGCTACAGTGATAAAGCTGACACTGTTACTAACCTTGCTAGGACAATAAGACAAAGATTTGCTTCTCTGCATCTCTTTAGTATCTTCTACAATATGCAGTGGGAATGGTGAATCATATTTGTGCTCCATCTCAGTTGGGCATGATGGAGGTATCTGTGACAGTTTTCTGTTGACCTAAAAGAAAATGAAATGAAAATATATATATATATCTAGGGAAATTACACGTATTTTTAAAAGCATGCATTTGGAGGTATATTCAGAATACTTGAGAGAAAATAATCTCATCTGCTGTGGCTGTTCAGTGCAGCCCGTCAGTCATATCAGTACTTCAAGGTCATGGTACAATGGAATGCCAACAAGCTCTGGCTCTTTGCTCAGCTATTAGGAAGTAGAAAAGTGAAGGCTGGAATAGTACACCTTGTTCCCTTGTTCTTTGGAGAGCTTTTTGACATTGACATTGATTACAGGATAGCTATGTCAAATATATATCTGATTATATTGAAGCACAACTGTAACTAGATTAGGATACATATTATCAAGGGTAGCTATATTGGTTTCACCATATATAAGAATCAAGATAATATTTATTGATCATCAATGCTATTGGACAAAAGTAAAACTGGTGATGTGAATCTTAAAAAGCACCATTTAAAATGTTGCTATTTCAACACATGAAAATAACTATTGTTATCAATTGCATCTTTATCGTGTTCAGTGTTTTAACTTCTGAGTCTAGGTATACAAACACATTTAGGTTTGATTTCTTTTATCCTGGTTCTCATGAACAAAGAGGCAGAAGGAAAAGGCAGAACAGTGTGGGGTGGTGATGCCCCAGGTGCAATTAGAGGGGCAGGCAGTCACCAACACTTAATGAGGACACAATAGAAGTGGGGTGACATGAGACACAGCATGTGTCACCACAAGCTCTGATGCATCATTCAAAACTTGGCAAGAAATTGATAACCCTACTGCCAAAATGTCTTGGTGTCCCTACGAAGTTCTGGGGTTGCATGCAAAGTTTGGTGATGCCATAGTGATGTAGGCAGTTGCCGATGTTTCTCTGCTATCCTGCCACATACAATACCCAGACAGATATTTTGTTCTTTTAGCAGACCCTGAAAATAGAAGAGTATTGGTGGGTGGGAATGGATAGGAATGAAGCCAGATATGCCCACACAGTTAACAAGTGCATACAATACTGTTTGTTATTATACAAGATTAGTGCAAAGTGTATTTACATGACATCTACCTTTTTTTGTTGTTGTTGTTTTGTGCCTTTGAGTCAGTCTTGACCCCTGGCAATTGCCTGAACTAGTCCCAGCAGTTTTCTTGACAATGTTTTTCAGAAGTTGTTTGCCATCACCACCTTCCTAGGCCTGAGAGAGACTGGCCCAAGGTCACCTGCCTGGCTTTGTGCCCTAGGCAGGACTAGAACTCATGGTCTCCTGGATTCTAGCCTGGTGCCTTAACTGCTACACCAAACTGGATCTTATATCTACTTATAGTGAGCATTAACATGTACGCTAATACATCTAACTATACAGTGCATTAACTAAACTTAACTAAAAGACTTAAATTTATACTCCTTTACTTTATAAAACAACGACTTAGCTGCTAATTTATGCCTCCTCCCACACCTATTTATCTTTAGCACAGATGTAGGAATGCTAACAATTTCTCTCCTTGCCCAGTTATCTAGCCCCACCACCTATGTTTGCTATCCTCCACCTACAGTCCAGGGCTGTCTGTTCCTTTCCTCTGGCTCTTTTTGCAGATTCCTTCTTTAACTTCAGCTGCCTCAGGCTTTTTCTAGTTGTTCTCCCTGGCTACAGATCCTCCAGCTACTTGATTTCCCATCTTTCGCCTCCTCTGCATCATATCCAATCACCTTTCACTCCAGCAGCATCTCCTGCCAAACCTAGAATAACCCCCCTCCTTCTGTCTACCTGCTATGGCTTATTTAATATTTCTTGCTTTTGAAACCTATATGTCAACTTGCAAGTGATACTAAGGACTTTAAATTTTTTCTTTTCTCTGCAACTGCCTATGTGCCCAAGCTGTGCACTTTACAGTCAGACCACTACAGATAAAAAATATTGACCTTGACACTTGCACATAACATTTTTCAGTTTCAGGGCAGTTCATCCTTCTGCAAAGGGATCACATGTTTTCCCATGGGAAACAGGAACAGCTGTTATGTTGGCAAGAAGGAGAAATGGTGGGCAAAACATAGATTCCAGATTCTTGTTATTGGTTCCAGGAGAGCCCAGAGCAAAATTGTTGAAGTGAAGGAGAGCGGAAGTTCTGGAGAAAACCTGCTGAAGGAAGAAGAGAATCAGTGACGGACAATGTAGTCATCATATATGTGAAGGAATATTATGCTGACCTTGGAGATAGAGAAGAATGAGGCAGCCATTAAGGAGAGACTTTCAGAAAATATTGCAAAGTCCTGAAGAAGAAAGTGTGAGAAACTCAAAATAACCCTACCTTAATTTTGTTTAGTATAAAATGGGACAGAAAGAAACATGTATAGCTTTCAAGATTCTGTTATTCCACCCTACCACAATAAAGAGCATTCCTGGAATCCCTGGCATGCCTTTTTCTTGATCTTGTCTACCTCAAAGGGCTGTCAAAAGATGACTTCCACTGGAAGCTGAAGGAACCAGTAGAGAGAGATTATGTTTGGCCTCCATTTTAGGAGAAAATGCCTAGCTAAGAAAGAGAAAGCTATAAGTGTTATTACCTCTTACTTAACTTCAAATAGGGAGTTGCAACAGAGTACAGAAATAACAATGGATATACAGTATATACCTTGAACCAACGATGTCACTTCCTTATGTGTCCAGGAGAAAGAGTGTTAATTTTCCACTCATTAGTTAGATATTCATAAATTGTGCCTATTTCTTGACTGTCCCTGTAGAAAGGGGGGGATGAGGGGGGGAGATATGAAGGGGCAGGAAAAGGATTGAGTTATTTACCCTGCCTGAAAATGAAACTAAGTGCTTACCTTTGCTTACTATGATAAAAAAGGAGGAAAAAGTCACAAGAAATGTTCTGTATACTGTGAGTAGGATCATATCCTGTAAATCCACAGAGTTGTCATGACATGTGCAATCCATGTTGCATGTTCACCCTTGATGCAGGAAAGTGTATGTATAAGAGGAGTTACAAATGAAGGTAATGACTGCTTTTACTTGGGACATAATATTGATTTTTTTAAAAATAAGTGTTTCATTTAAAAAAATCGAAGCATTTTTGGCTTTCATCAACAAATGGAGATTTTCCATCAGTTTGGTGCTTTTGCAAATGTGTTTTTTGATTGCTGGAATAGGCCTGTCATTGTGGTTTGCCTTAGTTATTTTTATTACAGGATTTGACAAGAGAATATTAATGCTTTTTATCAGTTATGTATGGGCCTCTGAATAAATACATAGTGATGGAATCAGGGTGAGGTGGGAAGGTCCAAGTAAGTGGCTGGTATACTATATTCAAAAAGCAGGAACAGGCATTTTGGGAAGGGAGGGGGAAGGGAGGAAGTGGGAGTGATAATTTCTAGCTAGTGGGCATACAGTCTGGGTTTCACTTAAGATGCTCTTTGGAAATCTTTTTTGAAATTGTGTTTATTTGATTCCACTAATGCTCATTTTGGATTGCAAAGATGCCACATGATTACTTTCTAGCTAAAATCTCTTACTATTTTCAGAAAGTGGGGAAACTACTTTCAAAAGAAATCTGCAAAAATTAGTTCTTGTTTTTCTAACTTATCTGTAAGTATTCGTTCTCCATGCAGTGAGTACCCAAAGGTGTTCATTTGCATAAAATTCAGGCCAGATTAATTTAATGTAAGAAGAAAAAAAGCAGTAAAAAAAAGCAGATCAATGTTTATTCTTCTGCTGATGGCAAACAGCCACAGTATCCAGGAAGGGAATCAAAAAAGTCAAGATGGGGACTCCAACCATGCAATTGAAGACACACCTCTTTTTAATGTAATTGAAGACTCATCCCTTTTTTATGTGTGATCACATGGTTGAGGTCACCATTTTGACTTTGTTTTACTCCACAAGAACACCTCTGAAAGCAGGTCACATTATTGGTAGTTGTCAAAATAGAATTTTTCATGAATCTTTAGAATGTCTCTGTCAGTCTCTTTGAACTGCAACACATAGAAATGGAGCTTATCTCTTTGCATAAAGGAAAATTCTAGGGTAACATATTCTAGGGAATATGTGTTCCCAAGTATGTCTGATTTCATCTCTTTAGCCACTGCAGTGCACAAATGCTGCTACGTTTGTTTGTGTGTTTTTTGGCAGTGGTGGTAGGGAAAGCTCATTGCTTTAGTCTGGAGAACTACCCAAATTTCCCTGCCCTTGGAATGTCTTTTCTGCTAAGTATATAATTGGCCTAAATGTTCAATGCACTTTCCCAGCAGGCAGCATTCAGCAGTACATAAGGGAAAAGAACATTTTTTGTAACTTTGGAATTTGCATGATTAAATCTAAAAATGCCAGTGTGGTCTGAACTTTGTGAAGAGTTGGAAGAGGGTTCTGCTTATTAATTTATTTTACTTGGAAGAAAACAGAATCTTAATATTGCCCCTTTAATGGGGGCAACCACTGATCCAGCAACCCAATAAATTGTTCTTTTCCCCTCTTTACCCCATCCCCATTTTACATTTCACTCCTTACATTAAAATAATACCATCGTTAAGCATATTGAATATTTCTGGCTCATTTTAAAACAAGGGAAACATTCTGAATGGATCCTTTGACTCAGCCAACTGCCACTGATTTTTATTACTCAGAGGCTTGAAAGGTATGTGGAGAATTGCCATTAATCTTAAGTTCTGCACAAATCAAAAAGTAAGTCAATTCTCTGTATGTGGCATTTTTAATTACTCTGGACACTTAGTTTCAATCATTTAATTCTTTTGGGGTGTTCTTCCTTCAAACTCCCTCATAAAAGGGTTTGCCTTCCATAGCATCCTGCTGACTTTTTAAAGATGATCAAGAACATAAAATTAATTGAGTGACCTAATGACAGCTTCATCTAACACAATAAATAGAAAATCACATCCTTAAGGGTGAAGGTCTGAGCTAGCTATTCCAAAGATCTGCTTAAAAAAAAAAAAAAAAGGAAGTTCAGGAATAACATTAATATTCAACAACTTTGGATTCCTCTGTAGCAGCAGCTAAGAAGCTAAGTCTAAACCTGGTCAGAACTTCAATGAGAGAGCAAAAGGGAATATCAAAGAAATAAAAAAGAAAAGAATCATGGAAAAACGGCAATAGCAAAACCAGTCCTATATTGTTGCCAAGAAAATTGCATGGATATATCCATAAAATCATCATGACTTGAGCTTATCAGAAAAACAAACAGGCAGAAAGGATCTACTAAATTGCTACTAAAAGTGTCATAAATCACTTAATTGTTTCCAACTATCACCTTTTTCAATAACAGTATTTTGCTAGGTTTCACAGTATGTTTGACTTGGTGTCCTAAATAAATATTCTATTGTCTGGGAAGCAAAATGCCAGTCCACCACCAGCATCATCATCACCACCACCACCACCATCCTGTTTGAATTCAAGTCTCATTTCGCATGTGAAGCAGAGGACAATGCACATTAATAAATTAAAACTAGAAATGTCAACCAAGTATAGCATTCCATGTCAATTGTCTTATGGGTAAAACAAAAAGTAGCAAGTGTGTTAGAAATTAATGAAAAGAACATCTTTTACTCTTAACTCTCAACATTCAATTACCACTGAAGCACAGATAGCAAAAGCAGTAAGATATTTTCCTTACCAAGTCATTAATGACTCATGGGGGGGGGGGGAGCAGGAAGAATGGAGAAATCTAACAATTTCAAGTTTTAAGTGAAACCAATACTTATCGCTAACTATAGCAGTTACTGTTTTATTCATTATGCTGCAAAGACTAGTGGAGATAGGTCGCAACCACTGACTTTCTGAGTATTGTAAAAGATAATAAAAGTGGTCCCCATGTGTATCCAAAAGTCGCACAACCTTGAACCTTTCCTCCTCCTCACTAATTTCTTTAGCAGACACGGGGGGTGGGAGAAGAATTTACTGAAAGCCAACAGAGAGAGAAAAATTAGTGTTTTTTCCATTCCTAACAAGATAGATGTGAAACATATATAGAAAAAAACCTTCACCGTTAACATTTTTCCACCCTCTTTGAATAAAGTTGAAGCCTAATAACATATTTTCCTGTATTAAACCAACAAATAAACAAACCTATTTATAAATTCCATATTGTTAACCTGACAATTAAAACTATCCACTTAATCCACTTAATCCTCCAACAAAGTTATTGTTTCATTAGAAAAACTATTGTCACATCTGTCTATAACCATTTCCTAGAAGAAGGAGGGCCCTTCTGAGAACTGTCAAAACAACAACCAATCAATATGGAGCCTGCAGAACTAACAACCAATCATTCTATCAGGAAACTTAGTAGCAGGAATGTAATTTTCTATATAAATGTATCTTTTTCACTGTAACAGTGTTCCACTTTGTCTCACAAATTGGAACATAATCATTCATATGATAAATTGTTTCTTTCCTTCTCAGTGTTGTGCTCCTTTTCCCACAACACTACCAAGACTAAATAAACAATGAAATAAACAATGTTTGGCTATTTTTTAAGCAGCCATTAAAGCAGATATTTATGAATGTCCACTTAATGAGCACTACATGACTGCTGAAATATCTTATATTGGCTACATTTCTAAATGGCTGCTCATTTCATCTGATCTGCTTCATCCTTTCTAATGCTCAGATAGCTTTCTTTCCATTCCTGCTATTTGTCCTTTAAGATTTGTGCATTAGTCCAGTTTATTGCACATTCAGTTAGGAGATGAATTTGCATTTAAGTCATACAACCAGGAGAAATTAATTAATTTTCATTAATTATAAGAAATGGTTAAAAATGTGAGAAATATTTGTTAGATCCTCTCCTGTTTCTTGCACCAGTTTCACATATCAAAAACTGCATACGTATACAGTTGATATTTGTTTCTTTCTCACAGGTGTAAGCTCTTTTACAGGTTAAGTTGAACACATTTTTGATTTTCATTCATTCAGTTTATCAGCTGTGTGGCTAACAAGATTTAAAACATCCCAGTACAAATGCAACAATAAAAAAAATGCGGGAAACACGGAAAAAAACATGACATTCATACATTTATATTTAAGGTATGCTTATACCTCAGTCTGGCTTAGTGCCTGGAAGATGGTTTTCTTAAAGGCTGGCAGGGTTAAGGCCAGGGAGCCAGGAGAATGTTCTTCCATAGGGGTACACGTCTTCTATTTAATTAATGGGACTGGTGACCATCCAAGTCTTTGGATCTTGTAGAGATAATTGGAGACATGTGGTTTCCCAAGTTCAGGCCGTGTGGCATGTAGAGGTTTATGGATGACCACCAGCAGCTTAAATTACACCAAGAAGCCTGCTAGTAACCAGTGCAACTCACCCAGTAATGTGTGTACTAATTTGTACCCATAACTG